GCCTCATTAGGCAACTCCAGCCTGCTCGTTTGTCAGCACCCTCGTTTCCGAATTACGCGGACTTTTTTTATTAACGCCAATTTCTCGCGCTCTAACGAGTGTAATTTTTTAACCTCGCCTTTTCCTTTTAGGTTTCACAACGTGTGTTTTCGTTTGCGGCTTTTGGATTTATTACTCACATGTATCATGAGAAGATAGCCTTGCCCCGTATTTATCAATAACTTCCTGTAATCTTTCAAAAGACGAATAACTGATGAATTTTTTTTTAAATCTAAATGTGCTATTAGGTAAACAAATAGGTTGCTATGAATATGAGAAATGTAGAAAATATTTAAATATACTTTCCTATTAATAAAAATATTTCTAACAATTCATAAGTAATGTCGTCTCAAAGTCACCCCACTTCTATTTTGAATCCCCATACGTCTGCACATTTGCACCCTCGCATATTTAGCTGCATTAACGTCTGCGAGCATCACCGTATTTTTCATACCACGTCACTCTCAAGACTTGCGAGAGTCACAAAAACGCCTCTCATGTCTCTTCGTGATGCATTTGAAGTACCCTCGAGCACATTTAACATAAATGTCAAGTTTTAAAAGGGTTTTAAAATAAAATTGAAAATGGTATGGTATAGTGCCAAAATCTTTATACCTAATATAGAAATTACATCAAAAGAATTTACAAATATATCTGCTAACTAGCAACTCCCTACCCTTCCCCTTGTATAAATTCCTTAGTTTCACATCACCCCTATTTCAACCTCAGAGAATGTTGTCTTTGAATCACAAAAATTGTCATTTTTGATCAGAAATATTATTTCCAATTTTGGACACTATAACTTTAAAATAGCGGATAATAAACACACTTCCAACCCCATTTTCCTAAATGAAAAAATATGCTTTTCCAGTAGATAGGTACCTATTTTTTCTCTATTTGGAACCTACCTGTCAAATTTCGTTTGTGACATTTAAATATATACTGTCCGAGATTTGGTCTACAATCAGGGAGTGAGAAATATTTTGCTTTTATATAGATAAATAACTATTTCTACTAGTATAGCTTAAAATAGCAGTTTCAACTGTAGTGTAAGTAATCAAATCACTAAGGCCATCAGTCACTTGGTCCTGAAGTCAAACATAATCACAAATCTTGTTTCTATTGATACTCGATTACGACTCGATCTATCTACCATGACACCTCCAGCGTTACCTTCCAAACGTTCTTTGATGCTTGTAGACTTTGATCGATGTTTGCTTTCGTAGATGTAAAAATAAGGTTCAAGGTAAGAGCATTTTAATATTAGGGATAGAGAAATTGTTCTTACTAAAAAATAAATCAAAAGGTCTTGGCTGAGATAATACCTATTTAAAAAAACATACATAAAACTAAAAAAGTATTTACTTTCATTTAATTCGAATATACTTAAATACATTTTTTAAAATTAGTATCGACTTCAAGATTTTAATTTCATAAAATTACTTTTGTGGTTTTCCAACAAAACTATCATAAACATATTTTAAATACCAAAATAATTACGAATGGGGGAAGATATTTTGTTTTTTGTTAATCCAAGGTTTTACTTAAGTAATAATATTTTCAAATGGACCAAAATTTACCAGGCTATTTTCGCATATACACATATATAAGTAATACTTTAAAGCTTTAACTTCTATGTAAAATTCTTATGTATAAGGTAACTTTAAGATGTGACACATATTATATCGTACATGGAAGAATTTGTTTCACCAATCTCTCTCATTTCTACATTCTTTCCGTGCGGCAGCAATTGAAAAGGAATTCGATACTTTTTCCACCTATGGTTACTAAAGAATTTAAGATCGTAAAATAAAAAGGGAACGAATTCCGCGTAGAAAATACGAGCAAGTGAAACAATTGTTCTAGAAGAGACATATTATATACCTAACAAAAAATATGTAATTGTTAATAATATATAATTGTCACAATAAATACCACAAAAAAGATCTCACATTCGGTTTTATAATATTGGTAAGGATAAAATAAATTTTATCCTAAAGGTTTTTGTTATTTGCAAGACACGATAAAAAACGGTTGACCAATTTTCCATTATATCTGTTGGAAGCTATATAATTAAGAAAACTAGACTATTTTAATAATTGTATTAGGTATAGGTTTTTTTAGTGAGCAGTAACATGAGTATGTGTTTTTATTGCTTATATAGCGCTTATATAGCGTGGTTATTATGCGATAGGTCATAAAACCAAATTTCATCTAAAGCTAAACTTATTTAATATACTACCGTTTTGTGTTAACAGTTAGTATGAAATTAAAATCTTTGAATCTCTCGGCTTTTCTGTACTATAATATGCATATATATATATATATATATATATATATATATATATATATATATATATATATATAAATTCTCCTCTTGAATCACTCTATCTATTACTGAAAACTGCATTAAAATCCGTTGTGTAGTTTAAAAGATCTAAGCGTACAAACAGCGGGAGCGACTTTGTTTTATACTATGTTTAGATTCACATAAATTCACAGATATTACCTAAGCAATTATATCTTTATTTTTATATATATTATTTACCTATTTATTCTTAGTCTTCAGGCTCTACATCTTTGTAAAGAGGATTTTATTGGCGGGTCCCTAATATATCGCTGTGCCAATCGTAAATCTGCTTGCCGCTAAATAAATAATTTAAACTAATAAACCAGAAACGTGTACGTTTGTGGCAATGGGCGGTTATTTATTTTATTTAAATGAGAAATCCTATATCGATTTACTGGATAGTAATAAAGAGTTTACAGATAAAAGAATTTATATGTAACAGTATACAAAAAAACTTTTTAACAAAAAAATAAAAACCGACTTCAAACAAGAGCACTAAAAAGTAAAAAATAACTGATTGGTTGTTTTCATTTACTATAAATACTTACCTAATCAAATATATTCGAAGTCGGTATGCTTTGCTTTATATGGCCTGGCACCGATTTCGAAAATATTTGATTAGGTATGTGTTTAATAGGTAGGCTTTAATTACTTAGCCAAAGCACACCGACTTCGAATAAATTCGATTAGGTATTTATAGTAAATGAAAACTACCAATCAGTTATTTTTTACTTTTTAGTGCTTTTGTTTGAAGTCGGTTTTTTTTTGTTAAAAAGTTTTTATTTTTCCCTTTTTAGTGTAGACAGTAGTAGCAACGTAAGAATTCTAACGTATTAGGCTTGTAAATCAAACAAAACAAGCCCACACTCAAAGTATCTACTATTCGCCGTTGAAGAGTTCCACCTATCCACCTTCTGGCCTTACCATCAGATCAGGTCAACAATACCGAACCACTGTACTATCAACGGAAATAGGAACACTTGCAAAGTTTCAAGTCAATATGACAATTAGAAGTAGGTTAAATTCATCATTAGCTATTTTTCCACCCTTAGGGGTGGTATTTTTTTTTGAAATTAAAATGGGACCAATCTGGAAGTATACACTTTCAAACAACACAAAAATTGTTCAAATCGGTTAATAAATGACGGAGTTCTGAGGTAACAAACATAAAAAAAAACATACAGTCGAATGGAGAACCTCCTCCTTTTTGAAGTCGGTTGAATATTCGTTTATATTTACGTTTTTCTCCTGTATAGTCAGCAGAGTGATTCATTTCTGTGATGTCCGATTTCCGTTAGGACCTACAGATAATACGGATCGGAGCCTAATACTGCACGTTGTTTTAATGTAGAGTGGCTTGGTGACAACATTCATAATTTATGTTTGTCAAATAATATTTAATAAAAGAAAATAAAAATCTTAGTATACTAGTTAAAAAGATATTCCTTTTACAAGTTTTAAATAAAATTTATATAATTTTTCTATTTTACTGATGATTAACAAAATTCAGAATTCAGAATAATTAGGTAATATATTTAGACGTTCTGCTATCGTACCAGAAATTTCAATATATTATAATTTTTTTTCGTTTTATAATAAAGCTTATGTTAAACATTAGTAAACACTGATGGCTTGAGGCTAAATACTTTAATAGAGTTATTGTAAAACGGCTAAGTAATTTAGGCTCAGTGTTTTACGATAAAATTTGACGAATTTCAATAATAAAATTAAATATTTAATTTATTTAAAATGAAAATCGATTTATTAAAATACTAGCAGAACCCGCAGCTTCGCTCGCGCTAATACTACCAAAAAAAACTAAAAAGGTAGGTTTTACACAAACTTTCATCCCCTATTTTACTGATGGGAATGAGATAATCTCCCGCGGTATAAAGTATGTGCCTATGTCACTCTCCAGTGCTCCAACTATCTCCACACAAAAAATCACGCCAATCCGTCTCTCCGTTTCCACGTGAAAGAAAGACAAATAAACGAACAAACACTTACAAATTAAAATATTAGTATGGATATGTACACATGTTATTGTTCGACATACTACAACTAGACGTAAGACCATAAAAACAATCCTGAAATTTTTACTGCGCAGAAAACTGAACTTTAAAATAATAGATACAAAACTTATAATAGTAGGAGTAAGTAATTAATATTATACAGGCAGAAAACTTGTAATGTAGTGCGGAAACGCTGACTTTCTTTTCTTTCGCTTTGCTTGTTGAGTTCTATTCCTGGTAGTTCGACAAACGATCCATATACGATCTCTACCTTCATCTTTTTATAATCAATTTACTTTTTTCTACAAAGTGGGCCAATTTGTCTTATGTCTCAGTGCATACAGCATGTAACAAGCTGCAATAACGTGACCATCATTATGATTAGAAACAATGAGAAGACTTCGCAACATATTCAACGGGGCGTAACTATATCTTGGACTCCATTGTCTTACGTCTATCAAACTGTCATCTAAACCACCCCCTCTCATAACACAATTTTTATAAAGTATACGTTTCCAGCCTTTACTCTTTTAATGTAATATGAGCTACGTACGATATTTCTTGTGTTTGAGTGCTTCTTTCATGAATGTGTTAACATAATGCGTATACCTTCAATATTTATATATGACTTTACTTTCGCAATTCTCATTTTAGTAAAACAAAACCTTGGAGAATGTAATCCTATTACAAATTCCAATTTCAACGAGCACATCAGGGAATTTTCTTTGAAGGAAGATATTGATGTAAGTAATACGAAGAAATGGTTTGAATATCATATTTTATTTTAATGTAAGAATATTTTATTTCAGAATTCTACTCATGTAAAAACCTTACATAAAGAAGATACAACGCGGTATGCCGATGCAAGCCCTTTTCGACCTGTTTCTTTTAAGGTAGAGTGGCATTATTAAAGTACCCTCAATTTTTATTAAATGCTTTATATAATATTGTTGTTATACGTGTTGCCAAAATTTGAATTTTATAATGTCCAATTATCCACTAGGACTAGTTTTTATTAGGTAATGTTGCTTTTAATTAACTATATAAGCATCTAATGGTGAACGGAAGTTGTCAACCAACATAAACGTAAGTACATGCATACTGCATATTATGTAATATAATTAAATTATCGGATATTCATGTAAATTAATATCAAAAACGATGAAAAATAATATATTTAAAATATATATGTTATATGTACATAGATATTATAAATCCGACAGGCAATTTAAAGGTTAAGACTACCACTACACTAGGGCGTACTTAGTACATATCTATCTAAATCATCACTGAACGATATAAAGCATGATAATGGCTAAAGCCAAACTCACTTTAACCAATACTACTAATACTCGTATAAAATGTACAGTGAGATATAAATAAGTCTACAAACCATGTTAGCAATAGTATTTAAAATGTAGAAATACAGGCTCAGGCGTGTAAGAATATCACTAGTATGGCCCACATTCCTGATAACTTGTCGTAACGGAAACGTGAGTCAGTATTACCGATATAATTTACATTATTTTTATTACAGCCACTATTGCATGATAAACATTGTTCCCAGAGTAATTAGTTAAATTGTTTTACCTACCATTGTAGCAACACTCAGGCAATTTGCCGTCGAAACTGGGACTGCATAGTTGAAAACTTTTTCCCGTGACGGCATACGTTTTAGCTGTCTTAAGAAGCCTATTCACACATTTCTTCTCACATAAGATTCTGAACAATGGAAAATAAGCTGTTTAATGTAAACTAAGAAGGCATTCTTGCCTATGACCTTGTGTTATAGATTTGTACCTTCTATATTAATAATATAGTTGTATAGGTATGTTTAATATAGTTGTCTTGAGCTATAAACACCATTTCCGTTCATGTTTATTACTTATAACATTTTTCTGTGATCATTCAAATACGTGCAAGTCAATATTAACCAAAATGTTCATATTATATAATCTGTACATATAATAAAATTGTAACTGATCGCTGTCTGTACATGGAAGTTATTTGAGAAAGGCTATTATTGGGGGGTCTTTATTAACGCAATAGAACCCAAAACAATGAGTTATAGAATTTTTGTCTGTTTATCTGTGCATTTGTGCGCGATATCTCTGAAATGGCTTAACCAATTTGGGTGCGGTTTTCACTACTGTATTATGATAAGCTTTACTTAACATGTATTATTTGTTTTATTTCAATGGGGTCATAAATAAAAAAGTTATGTCAATTTAAAGGGTATATAAAATAAATAGGTACATAAAAACGCATGTTGTATAAACTACAGGTTTACACACACGTAGAGAAATCTACTGATTCTTAAAAGCACCTTTTTGTTAGTCAGACACGAGATCAGTTCTTAGTATCTTTGAGTAATGATATAAGGAAAAAACCTCTCGAGTGCTTGACTCATTTTTTCTAAAATTTAGATAATACGATAATTGTTTACTTACAATCACCTACCTACACTACAGTATATTTAAATATATAATTACATTAATGTTGATGTACTTGTTTTACGAGAATATAATTTTATGCAGTTTTTCCCGCAGCTCCGTTCGTGTTAAAGATAAATTGATAAAAAGTATCCTACGCTCCACTAGGATTACACTCAATCTAGCTTAAAATCTCCATTTTAATGTTTACTTAAATCCTTTAAGCTGTTTTAGCGTGAAAGAGCAACAAACAAACATACAAACTTTTATATATGAAATAAATATTAAGTAGTGTGATTTTTATCAAATTTAATTTTGACTCTTCACTTCACACGCTTCTCATCTTTTAACAGTTTACATGGATTTATCTATAGTTGCTTTCAGTTTTAATAAACTATTAAATAACACTATGGAATATTAATTAACTATCTAATTAACTTCAAACGAAAAGCTATTGAACTTAGCTGCAGACTATCAACGCGTTTCATAGACACTGAATAAAAGGGTCTATTTACGATTCATTCTATAATTCAATTGAAGAGTCCCAATCGGGAAAGAAACATTAAGAGCCATGTGAAAAGAGGGCAGCGACCAGACGTAGCTATCGGAGCGTGCCTGAGGACGGTATAATTGGATTTAATTATTTTTGCTTCGGAAAAAACATCCTAAACAATTATTTTTCGATTTCAATTATATCCAAGAAATAATATTTCGTAATGGACAATAATCAATCGTTACTATGAGAAATGAAATAATATGAAATATAAACTGTTATAATATTAACTTCGTTAGGTTCATTCCAATAATATATTTGATATTGAAATAAAACTTTCATACAAATATTGATTTTTGATTCGCGACCATCTTTGGTATGTTGTATGTATCACTAATTACAACAAAAGGCCAAATGCCTTAATCACCCACATGATCTTGTTTGCTGTATGAATGGTCGCCATACCCAGATTTGCTGTATATATTATAAACATACTTCTCACTACTCTGTTTTTAATTATAGAATATACCTGACAGTAAACTCTCGAGTTCCAGTCATAGCAGAGGACTCGTGAATAGGGATCATCCAGGTACAAAAAAGTTTTTTTGTTAATCTTAGAAGTAACGACAAGTTTAAACCTTATGGACTTTAATTCAAATATTAGGTTATATTATATATATTAACATTTAAGAAGATACTTCAACAAATAAAACTACTTTGTATTTTACTTACATAATATTAAATTAAAATACGAATGAAATTTAAAACCATTTGTTGTTTAAGTTGTAATATGATTGTAGAAAAACAAATCTATCAAGATTGTATATCAGCATCATCGTGTAACATGTAAATTACATTATTTCTTCACTTCTCAGGTTACGCCCCGCATGATTACGAGGAGTACCCGCATATTGGTTACGAGTATGACTATCACGTACCGAATGTCGACCATCATGCTCATGATCACGGCTTTGAACACTACGGACATCACTATGGACATGAAGGCCATCACTATGTTGGGCATCACTACAAGCATTACAATCATGTAAATTTTATGATAATATTATAAAAGTGCCATTTAGATAAATTAAATAATATAATTGCGCCATCTCAATGTTAGTGTCGGACTTACCTACACGACTTTAGAAAACCAGTTAGAGTCTCTCAGACATGTAGGATTCCTCACGACGATTTCCTTCGTCGAAGGAGAGTAAAATAGAAAGATACGACTAGTTCTTACAATACAGAAAGAATATGGAGCGAAATCCATACTTAATATTATAAATGTGAAAGTGTGTTTGTTTGTCCTTCTTTCACGTCGAAACGGAATGACGGATTGGCGTGTTTTTTTGTGTGGAGATATTTGGAGGTATGGAAAGCGCCATAGGCTACTTTTTATCGCGGAAGCTTATCTCATTTCCACAATAAAACACGTTATAATACAACCCAAAAAATATTTGTGATCAGAATTATTTGAAACTTGGTATTAATGCTTTTCAATATAGTCAAATAAATACGTATTATATAATTTTTCGAAATTCATACCATAAAGGGGGTAAAATAGGCGAAGAACGTTTGAATGAAACCTACCTTTTTAGTTCTTTTTGTAGTTTAAGCGCGGGCGAAGTGGCGGGTTCTGCTAGTAATTTACACCAAACCTTTGTGCCCACATTCGAATCTTACGTATCAATATTAATGAAAGGAATAAATTAAGTTCGCCCACTCAATTCAACCTACTAAATTACCAAGTAAATGTCTGGTGTTAATAAGCATAAATATCTCACCTAGTCGTAAGGAAATACTTGACTTAATTTGCTGTAACCATATTCTATATTAATTAAAATCTTAATAAGTCGATATTACTTACCAAAAGGAGGCATCTTGTAATTAATAAATATTGAATGAATACATCTACATATATAATAATTTTATAAAGATGTAAATTTGTAAGTTTGTAAGTTTGTTTGTAATGGCTAAACTAAAAATCCGCTGAACCCATTTAAATGAAATTTGGTATGAAGAATTTTAAGATAGAATTTTTATCCCGGAAATCATCCCTTAAGTGAGTGAAAAGAGGAATGGAAGTTTATATGTGGAATATTTATACTAATATATAGTCTACTTATTCATACTAACAGTTAAAACGTAGGTACCTAGGGACGAACCCGAGCGAAACGAATGTGAGTCGCTAGTACGTATATATAATTTTAATGTACTGCATATTACAATTTTATGCAAAACCTATTTGGATATGGATTTATACTCGAATGTTTTCCCCATTTTCTACCATTTTTTCGTCATTTACCTGAACCCTTTTGTGCAATATGTTTATCTGTATTAAATATTAATATTATAAATAAATGTGAAAGTTTGTGAGTATGGATGTTTGTTACTCTTTCTCGCCAGAACTACTTTTTATGCCGGAAAAATGTACGGTTCCCGTTAGGTAGGTTTGTTTTTGTTTTCCTAATAGTTGTTTTCCTTTTTAGTAGTAAATATGTGAAATCGTATTTTCAGGCACTGGCGGCTAAAGCAATTTTATGGCCGATCGCAGGAATTGCACTCCTCGGCGCTGCTGCTGCCTTAGTACATAATCCAATTCTCTTGCAATTGGGAGTAGCTACCGGTAAACGGAAAAGGAGAGATACTGAAGAAGTCACAGGCCCTGATTTAGACTTACATATCACTAAGTGGAACAATGAGCCAACGTCGGAAGAAAATCGTAGGATTTTACGTAGTAACAATATAAATATGCATAAAAAAAAGTTTCAAAGAAAGATCTTGAGTAATACGGTATTTGATTATAAACAGCCTTTGTTTAAGACGAGTCCCACGACGCATTCCCCTATTGAAGATTTCGAAGTATATGCACCAATAAGCATGGAAGCGGATGATAAATTTGTACCAGTACCGATAAAACTCAAGCATATTTAGTTTAATAGCAATTTAGTTTAATAGTATACGAATTATTTGTACTTATCGTTTTGTATTTTATCATAATAAATGTTTATTTAAGTGTCATTGGACTTATTTTAATAATTAGTTATGCATAATACCGAGTGCATATTATTCTTGTACCACTTAATTACTTAGTATTTTAATTTTTAGATACCTAGGTAATTTAAATGCACGCCGTCTTATTCAACCAAGATTCCTATATTAATTATTATAAAGGAATATTATTTTTATACATCTACTTTTACACCCTTTTAAAGTATCCTAAATGAAAAATAAATAATTCTATATTATATATAATATTAAAATGAGTTAGTTCTAGACATGATTAGAATGTAAATAAAAGCAATCTTAAACATATTTCTAATCAAAGTAAACATTTTAAATACCTACAAGTTCAATATCAAGACGTCACTATCGTATCCCAATAAATAAACACAGTTCACAAAAACATAACCAATGAAGCACACATTGCACTGCACGATCAAATTTTAACATTTCAAGTTCAATAACCATCACGTATTTGCACTACACACATCTCCAAACGGTAAACACGAGTTATTGACAAAACAAAACTATAAAATCAATTGTTTGCACGTAACGTCATCAATGAGATCGATCGGAGCGAAGTTAGAATTATACACGAGTCGGCGGATCAACAGACACTGTTTTGAATGAAGTTGGATGCCCGACCTTTCTCTGTGTGCGTATGCGCTTGCGCAGGGTAGAAAAACCGCCTTTGATCAATGTGTGCGCTGTGAATAATACAAGAACAAAAACAGAATATCAATGAAGTTCCGTAAGATGAAAAAAAATAATTCTTACAAAACTTTTACTTTTAAAAAAAAGTAAAATTACAAATAACAGTCAATTTAATTAAAGCACATAAAAATAGTTATCACAATAATTTTAAGCATGATATAATTTTTTTTGAATTTATATCACAATGTCTATTTTTACTCTTTATAATATTTTTATTGAGAAAGTATATTATTATTTAAAGACATGTTTATTTCTACATACTGCCATCTATCATACTTTTACGAACGAATATGCTTGTGAAATCTGCACGATAGCATATGATATATCACTATATAGTTCGGCGTTTTGTCGCTAGATGTCAGTGTATGCTTTATTATAATATAAATAACTAGCATTGCCCGCGGCTCCGCCCGCGTTCAGATGACCAAAAAACATTTTTTTAGGTTTTACATATTAGTACACTCTTACATTGCAGTTTTTGTATTTTTTCTCAGAAATGAAACATTTTCCCGCGGTAAAAAGTATCCTATATGTATAAATTTCATCACAATCTATCCAGTGGTTTTCTCGTGATGCGATAACAAACAGACAGACAGACAGACAAACAGACAAAAATTCTAAAAACTATAGATTCGGCCTCTGTATCGATAATAAAGTCTATTTCAATAAGATTTTCCAAAAAATATTTAATGTACAGATTCGGCTTAGTTACAATTTTATTATATGTATAGATGTACCTTGTCATCCATGTTATGTTAATGTACTACCTACCTAATATAGTATTATAACGTCTGTGGTACTACTGATACAAAATAAAATATAATAATTAAATAATCTGTAGCCAAATGGCGCGCCTGTAAGCCACAGAACAAAGAACATAACATATCATCGTAATAATAACAAAAGCTTGTATGTCAAAGTGGTATGTAAAAAGTAACCGTAAAGTCCTAGTTTCTACAAGGATCATTTGGCACTTAGGTGACATCGACATGAGGGCGTGGGTGTGAAATTAACATTTTTCTTTTATAAAAAAACCTCTTAACCTCTATATCATCACTTCATATTTTGACATATTTTTATTGAAATAAAGGCACGAAATATCCACAACAAACATCAAATCCCACCTTTCCCAACAGTGACGCTTTACAATACAAGATGGCGGTGTTAGTTCTGTTTTCCTGCCACGGACCAAATGATCCTTGAAGCACTGTAGTCTGCATCATGGATGATAAAATATGATTGTATGTTTCTATATAGAAACATAAGAAATAGAAACATATAGTCCACTGTCCATATATATGGAAACTAGCGACTCACCCTCGCTTCGCTCGGGTTCGTCCGTAGGTGGATTTCCCATAGAAACTTTCATCCCCATTTTCACCCCCTTAAGGGATAATTTCCGGGATAAAAAGTATCCTATGTCCTTCCCAGGGTTTCAAACTATCTTCTTACCAAATTTCATCTAAATCGGTTTAGTACCTAGATCTAGAGATTACCCTTACAACGTCACAAACTCATAATTCACAAACTCACAAACTTTACCTCTTTATAATATTAGTATAGATAGATTGACGTATTATATATGAAAAAAACCATCTTATAGAAATATCTCTCAATAGGTTACGACGCGGTCGCGGTTTCATACCTGCGTGTATGTCGTATTATCTCTTTAACCATTTGTCCAAATAAAATGCAGTAAAAGGGAAAAGTTTATTGTTTTACACATTTTAGACGATAAATTTACTTATTTTGATAAGAATTCATTATTGTTGATAATATGACCAATAAACATGACCTACTGATTTAAATTATTTTTTAATATAAGAAACTATTTTTTGTAACTTAAATATAAAAGTTAGACATAGTAAGCTGTCGCTGACTTTTTTGTAGGCATTATTAAGCTCTACAACTTTTCTCTACAACATAATCATATATCGTTCGTAAGAAATTTTTCGCTCGACCGTTTTTTCTCCGACTTACTTTGCAAATCCGACTACCATAAAAAAGTCTTTTCATCCTTCAGGTTAATATATAGCCTATGACTGAGGAAGAACCTGGCTTTCTATTGGTAAAAAGATTTTGAAAATCGGTTCAGTAGATCCAGAGATTACCCCCTACAACATCACAAACTTACAATATCACAAACTTTACCTACCTGCTGGGCTACTTACGGTGCTGTGTGTTAATGTCCGAATATATTTATATATTTACCTCTTTACAATATTAGTATAGATAAGCCAAGCTACCTTTTTAAAAATTTCACTCAAACACAGAATTAATGTTTTAATTCATATTAATTTAAAATAATACAGGTACATCTTTAATTAATAGAATTTTTTTATAATAATATAACACACAAACGCAAATTACATTAAAAACACAATTAATGAAAAAATCTTTATTGATAAATATTTAGTAGCAATCTTGAAATACGGTTTTCATTCTATTTTAAATCCAAGCTGAAAAAATTTACAAAAATATAAAAGTTAGGTACGTACTTATAAAACTTAAGGTAGGTACTTATAAAAAAGGTATTTAACTTATTAATCGTCAAAACAATTATGAATTAGCTTAGATGAAGTAAAACAAATAAGTAGTATTTTTTGTAAACATCAAGCACAAATTAAAAGGTTTTTGGAATTATTACCTTTTTATAAATGTACATATCCTTAATTTTTCTAATTATAGAAATTATATACACAAGTATTATTTTCTTTAGTTTTTTTTTAATATGGCTTATAGTTAGTTTTTTCTTAGTAAATTATAATTAATAGCGACGTATATGATTATTAATTGTAGGTAATAAAAAATACTTAGGAACACGAGAAAAGTCATGGACGAAAAGTAGTAGCATTGAATATTATTTTTACCTTTGGAGCATTTTCCTTAACACATTTAAATATAAGTACAGCTCTCTCACACCCCTTCTCTCCATCACTGACTTCCTCATCATTTACTAAAATAACATAAATCCAAGTGAAAATAAGTTTAATAATTGAGAAAAAGCATTTTAATTACTATACATATAATAAAATTCTAACTGATTCGAATCTGTACATTAAATATTTTTTTGGACAATCTTATTGAAATTGTCATTATAATCGATACAGAGGCCGAATATATAGTTATTAGAATTTTTGTCTATCTGTCTGTCTGTCTGTTACCGCATCACGAGAACACAACTGGACAGATTTTGATGAAATTTGGTGTGATGATAGCTGTTTATCCAAGTCAACATATAGGATACTTTTTACTGCGGAAAAATGTCTCATCTCTGAGAAATCTATACAAAACGTTAAAACGTAATATATACGAAGAAAGGAAGAATATAGGCTGATATTATTTAGTTGAATAAATCAAGTATTTGTCAAAGAACACGCTATACGAAAAATGTTTGCTTGCAATTTAAAGGAAATTAAAATTAGATATGTATTACACTAATATTTTGAGTGTAGGAATCCAAAATAATGTAATTTAGTCAAAAATAAACGCGCAAAATGTTCGACCTTTATAAAGCTTTTATTTAGTACTTTCATATTTTAAATGTTAATAATAGTATTTTTGTTCATATTTTTTTTTTTTTAAATATAATTATTTATACAACTTAATTCTATATTAAGTTTTACCTTTTGCGCATATATCTGCAAATTTCCTTGCATTTTCCAACCTTTTTTCATCTCCATTTTTCATCATTTCCGCAATTTTATAACCTGCTTCAAGATCGTATAATCCTTTGCTATTCATCTGATACAGTTTGACATGAATTTCAAGAATAACAATACTTAGAATAAAATATATATTAATGAATATGTAATAAAGAAAAGTGTAACGTTATTTTATTATCAAAAAAATATAATATGTATTTCGGCGCTGTGGCTATTCTGCATTGTATATATTAGTATCAAGTATTTTTGAAATAATATGGCTTTACATCTGTTAAGTACAATAAAAATAAATGAAACTCACAGTTCCAGCGTCCTTATAGGCACATGCCAATAAACATTTGACTTCCGGCTTGGTGGGAATTACTAGTTTTTGCAAACTTAATAAATCCTTCATATCGACGCTGTAATCTTTTGTACAGGCCATTAACAATTTTATAAATTTCTCTTTCATTTCTGCGTCAGTTAGTTCCTTATAAAATAAAAAAAACACGATATTCAATATTGGAGTGACGAAAATAATTACCGTCAAGCTTTAAACTGTGACAGCAGATTCTAATAGAAAGAGTACCAGAAACAATTGCTCATTTAAACAGTATCTTTTGGTTTTCTAAACACTAATTGATTATAATTGAATCTACCGCAATCCATCTTCGACTAACAACACAGGTATGTGGTTAATGAATAAAATGTTGAATAGGTAACTTTACTTTCTATATAGGCAGTGGTAGCCCCGAGTGAAGCGGGTTCAAATCTCAGGTCTCGCACCTCTGATATTTTCATGTGTGAATCGTTTCCAACATGATTACCACATGTTTTACGGTAAAAAATCACATTGAGAAGAAACCTGCATTTCTGAGAGAACTTAGCAAGTTTTCTAAAGACATATGCAATCCGCCAACCTGCACTTGGCTAGCGTGGTAGACTATGGCCTGATCCCCCTCGTATTGAAGGAAGCTCGTACCCAGCATTGGGACTTTAAAATAGGGCTGAGTACCATACAATCTTGACTATCTAGTATCTACCGTTCACTTATAATCAAACCAAATCATGCGAAAGCGTTCCCATTCTCGGAGCTTACATAGAAAAAGACTCGTGTGCCGTAGTCGCTACCTCGGTCAGAAATACAGAGGCAAGAGTAGCCGCAAGCAATTTGCTAATTATAATAGAATATTATAAAAACTTACGTAAGAATCACCGAAAAATAAAATAAACATTACAATAAATAGTTTTGCATTTTTCATTTTGTAATAGATATTTAGACCCAGTAACAATATTTGAAATTACTATTAAAATAATGCTGTAAAAGTTAATAGGAGTAGATATTTATACTACGCTAGTTATAATAAATGAGGCTCATTTTTTATAAATTGATGTTGCGTTGTCGTCCAATATATTTATATACATATTATATTTATTTTGAATTTTAAACTGTATTAGGGGAAATGGGGATAATCTTATAATATACGCTATATTTATTACAACCATGTTATTTAACCAGGGCTTAAAATTATAGTATCAAGGTGCTGCTTAATCTACACGGATAAATAAAATTGAAGTGTCTGTATGTAATGTCAAAATAACAGTTTTTTATTAAATGCATATAAAAGTATACATACAGTACTAATAAGAAAAAATCAATTTAAAAAAAATATTTGTCTGTCTGTTTGTTCCGGCTAATCTTCGAAACGGCTGAACCGCATTTGAAGGAACTTTCACTGGCAGATAGGTGATTAGGTTACTTTTATTTTATAAAAAGATTAGGGTACCTAGAAAAAAAATTAAAACCCATGACGTCGTGAACAAAATTCGCTACCTAGGACGCACCCGAGTGAGAGTAAGTCGCTAGTTTATAAATTATAGCTACTGAAACTTTAATTTGTTAAAAAAATATTAATTGCCAAGTACAATTAAATATATGTACTATGGTGCTAAAGTACCTACCCTACTTGTCATTGTTTTAAAATATTTTACCAACGCAAATAATATTCCATTTTCTCTAACCTAAAAGATATCACAAAAGAAGCATTAGCTGTGATCCATATTATTTTATGCCTAAATATTATATGTACTTAAAAATTAAGTTTCAAATGTACGTCTGTAATTTAAAAATGAATCTCAAGAAACACTCAGTTTTTTCCTGACTATCTCACTATCAGTTTACCTGTGTTGTCTATAAATAGCTTAACCTACACAATACAAATAGACGGACAATTTAATTGGAAATAACATCTAATAAAGTCTACATATTTTTCTCAAAATAGAAAGAAGCTTTCGGGATAGGGAACTCAAAGTTTTATTATACTTAATTATATTTATTATTCATAATTATTTTTATATTATTAAATAAATATATATTAAACATTTAAGCTTTCTTTTCATACACTTTGCCCCACTCTACCCGAATAATAAGAAAAATATTGTGGCAAATTAGACCTTAAAAATTAGACAATTTACTTATGTACATTGTAGTATCAACGGTGTGTGAATTATAAAAATCATATTGTTTTTTATAATTTTTATAGTACCTTAGGAACTATAAATCTAATAATTGAGAGATTTTTCTTAGTATTTAGAAATATAACAACTAACAACTAAGATTTTGAGGTGAAAAAAGAAAACAAAAGTCATAAATAAATTATTATAAATTTATTGTTATCTACAAATGTGCAACTACATGTTATTGTCTACATAAAGTCGGACTATTGTGCACAATATGAAATCTTCATCGAAATTTATTTAATGAAGTCAAACTGAAAAAAACGGAAAATTTCAAACATTTATTAAATGATCAATTATTATTACTGACAAACTTTTATAACTAATATTACAAACCTCAGGAGCTTTTTCCACGCTACATTTGAACATCAGAGCCGCCCTCTCACATCCTTTATTCCCATCCGATACCTCCACATCATTTACTATAAAAATTTACATTACATAATTAATTAATACAGGAGTAATAGTTACGTATTTCAATGAAATGATTTAAAAGTAAAACCTAACCACTTTTACAGGCATCCGTAAATTGTTCAGCTTTTTTCAGTCGTTCAGGATCTTCAGATAGAAATTTACGTGCTAATGCATTCACACCTTCCACAGAGAGCATCCCTTGGTCATCCATCTGTAATTGTCATGATATTAATATATAGGTCTAAATATATATACAGTATCTTATGTGTGTCAGTAAAAACACTCATCCTTCGACCTCGGAAATGATCTCCACCGAGATTGTCCTTTCTGCAGAATATTCATATCATTAACGTAAAAAATAGAGCGTAACTTGCACGACTAGAAGCAATAAGTATGTATATAAAGAATCGCAATTAATAATATCATTAACAAAAACCAAATAGGTAGTTACAAAGTAACAAGAATTTTAAATGTTAAGTAAATCACTTATTTTATACACATATCAAAAATAAATCTATCATAAAATCATTATCCAAACAAAAAAAAATATATTATTTTCTGTCGCAAAATGTAGTGGAACCCAAAAATCTGTTTCCGGTAAAAAATTAGGTAGGTAGACGAGATTCATACTCGGATTAAAGTGTCATTGTTAAAGGACAAGCGAACCGAGTAATTGCAGACATTAAAATCGACCTTGTGATAGTCACATAAAGAATAACAATGTTACAATATTTTGTAAAAATCCGCCTATTATTTAATACAACACATACAATATACATGTAAATACCTAAATGTTGTATTTATATATTTTTTACTAGCAGCTCATCCTCGCTTCGCTCGGATTCGTGTCTAGAATAACTAAGACAAATCTATCCCACGGGAACTGTACATTTTTCTGAGATAAGCATATGTGCTAGATTATAATCTATCGCTGTGCCAAATTTTATCCAGATACGTACAGCTGTTCTGACGTGTTTGAGTAACAAACATCCAAACATCGATCTAAACTTTCACATTTATAATATTAATAATATTTGCGGATTCTATCTCGTAAAGGAAAACGAAACGATTTTTTTTTTAATTTACACAGTACCTATTCAATATTTTGTAACAGTTACTTTGTCTTCTTTGCTAGTAGCAGTCGTCAGTAAATTCGTACTTCACCTTCATGTTAGCTACCTACTGATGTAATTAATTACTCAGTGTGCTAATTGGATAGAAAATATTTTGTATTTAAAATATTTTTTGAACTAGTATTTGACATTTTTGGGATTACATTTTGAAATATGGTTAAATATACGAGTATTAGCCTTAATTACGAATAATAATTATGATTTTGGTTTACTTATTACACCTACTTACAAAAAACAAATCACAAGTCAAGATCAATGTAGTTTTAGCACAAAACAGAATATTGTATTATTTTATTTTCGTAGGAAATCTTTTTGAATTCCTGAGATATAAGTAGCCTGACAGACTACTGTCTGTCAGTAAGTATAACCAGTCACAATCATAAATGTAATATGACCACGAACAGTTCGGCAATATCTAATTGCATGATTAATTCATTAATATCCACGATGGCAAAAAAAACCGAATAGAGAAGCTCTTTTCTTTGAAGTCAGTTAAAAATATGTGACATCGCAGAAATAACAAGGTTACATTATGTAACCTGTATAGACACGCGATGCAAAAATATAAGATGCTACATCCTCGGCAAAATATCTTAAATGCATAAATATAGAATTTGTCTTAGTTATTTAAATATTCACTTTCTTGCTTCATCATCAGATAAACTCGATAGTATCAAAGTTTTAAATCGATAAGTCATAAGATAATACTATATTAAAATCGACTTTAAATGAATTATAAACTTTGATTTCATAGGTACACGTGACGCTAATAAAAGCTTGTTAAAAATAACTAAAAAACCTTATAAATAACTTTACCATTCCTGTCAGTTTGTACGTACACGCGAAAAGACATTTAGCATTTCCGTTATCAGGCAGCTGGAGTTTTTTGAATTGTTCTATATCTTCTGGTGATACTGGATTATCTTTTGCGCATTTCAGAATGATTTCCATGTGGCTCTGTTTTAAACTTTCAATGTCCTCTGCCTGTAAATACAAGGTAATATACGGGTACTATTATAGTTGTTAATTTATATTAAGAGAGAGAATTATTATTTATTATACAGGAAACTCTTTTTATTATTACTTTTGAAAGCACTATTTACCTACTCAATAAAGCTGAATGCATTATTGAGTAGGTAAATATAAATAATAAAGTGAATAAAATAAAAATATAAAAAATAAAGTGTATTTGATACTAGTTTTTGCCCGCAGCTTCGCTAGCGTGATGGTGGATGAGCGTGGGATGGGAAATGGGGATCAAGAGTAGTATGTCTGATCCCAGAATGCAATCTATGTCTTTGCCAATTTTTTTCGAAATCTGTTCTGTGGTTTAAGTATGAATAGGTAAGAGACAGTTGGGTACTTTCAAATAATATATAATATACTACCGACTTACCCTCGCTTCGCTCGGGTTCGCCTCTAGGCAAACAAAAACAAACCTATCCTACGCGAACCGTATGTTTTTCGGGGATAAAAAGTAGCCTATGTTTTATTCCAGACAATAATCTATCTCCGTGCCAAACATCTATATCCGTTCAACCGTTCTGGTGTGAAAGAGTAACAAACATCCGTACTCACAAACTTTCACATTTATAATATTAGTATAGATAAAGATAAGTATGAATTAGTACCTAACTTACTCTCACTTCGCTTGGGTTCATCCATAAGAGCGTTGGGTGGTACTCGTAGGTGTATTTAAATTATTACATACAAGCAGCGCCGGTTTAACCTGTATATTACATCAGATCATGGTCTGTGTACGAAATTTTATGTAAATCCGTCCAGCTGTTTTAACGTGAAGCAGTACAAACAGACGCACACATACAAACTTGCGCATTTGTATTAGCTAGTGTTTACTATAGAATACATAATAATTATCTCTAAATAATAATTAATTAACTTGAACAACTAATGGACGGAAGTCAGACAAAACAAAACTGTTTCTGTATTTTGAAGATATTAACAAAAAATGTTAATAGCTACAGAATGTTTGTTAAAAATCCCTGACTGAAAATAACCGTTGTTTAAATTTTTTTAACAATACGTAATTACTAGATCGATTTTAAACAATTTAACTAATTGATTTGTTAAAAATTAATTTTACCTATTTTAGATATACCTAATAAAATATGAGGCAAATAAAATTCACACCCTACTTACTGGTCCAATATCATTCTCCAAGATTTAATAAAAAAAATTATAAGTAGTTTGCTTCGTGTTCTGGTAAATACATTTGATGAATTCATCAATCTTTGATCAAAGTCACTTTGGATGAAGAAATTTAACCAGTCGCACACCATCCTAACCATATTTTGAAGATACAAAGAATAAACTTAAAATAATATTAAACATATCTGAAACGCTTATATAAAAAAATATTATTACTCACGTTCACCCTCAGATTGAATAACATGACACTATAAAATAGGAATTGTATAATAAGTTTAATCATTGTAAAAATCCTTCACAACCTTGTCGCAGATCCAGCGTGAAAATGTGAAAATCATTCTGAATAATATCTTATATATACAAAATTAGAATGTGTCATCATCACACTGACATGAATTTAATATTAAAAATACAATGAACATAATAGGGTGTTAAACCTTAGTTTATCGTTTATGGGAAAATCAAACTCATCGCTCATAAAATAAGCTTTAAAATATTGTAACATACAAGTACAATAGTAAACTAGAGTAAGCATGTTCTACTTAAAACATATTATATAAAATATCGACAATGCAGCGAATTATTATGATGTATTTGTTGTACTCGTAATTACTAAATTTTTCATATCACTTTAACAATTTTATACTTAAATTTATTTACTAATTTTTCATGAATTTTAACTTTTAATTTGTTACAATTATTATTAAAAAAGTTAAAAACAAATTGCTGATTGCTATGTTTAATAGATAATAATTATTATATATAATAAATAATTTAAATTAAACCGACTTCAAAGAAAAAATACTAAGTAGTAAAAAAATAACTGAATGGGGGTTTTCTTTTACTATAAATACCTAATCAGATATATTCGAAGTCAGTGCCAGCTGATGCAAAGCAAGGCAAATTTATGTCGATACTTATAAATACATCTAGAATGTATAACATTTGAACTATACATAATTAATTAGAGTCCATACTTACCTATAATATACTTGTCATATTTACCTATTAGATATTAGTATCTTAAAACATAGTCGGCTGGCACCGACTTCAAAAATATCTGATTAGGTATCTATAGCAAAGGAAAACCCCCGTTCACTTATATTTTACTTTTTAGTATATTTTTTTTTGAAGTTGGCTTAATTTTCTTTTAATTATTTTTTTTTATTTCGTAATTTTCAGTTTTAAGTATAAATTGAATTTATTTTTGTAGTAAGTAGTAATTACAAAAACAATTTAGTTTTAGTCCATATCATAAAAACTACTAAATTGATTTACATGAAATCTTTACCATTCCCTAACTTGAACAAATGTAAGCAAATAAAAAATGAAACATCACGATCCGAAAACTAATTTCGGAAAAATTCGTGGACAAACAAACATACATGCAATCTAACGAACATACATACATACATACTCCTATAAAATTTTGTATACTTCTTTGGAGATCCTAATTATCATTTGTGAATATTTCGCAGTTCCAAATATATTACAGTGTTTGGGCGAACGAGCTTCGCTCGGAGTTCGTTTTTGTTATATCCTTTTTTTAGGTGATAATCTATATAACTAAAAACTTGAATAAATACAAAAAAACACAAGAGTGAAACTTTGGATCCGACCGGAATTCAAAGCCGGGACACCTGTGATTGTCAATCTTGCGCCTTGGCCGCTTGACCACAATTGGTGCAAGCGCGGATCCAGGGGGGGGTCATGGGGGTCATGACCCCAACCCCCCCCCCTCCCCCAAAGCCGAATATACTTTTTAGAGAAGTTTGAAGTCTAAAAAAGGAAGGAATAAACGGATAAACATTTCGATTTAAAAAAGATGGTTATCATATGTATTTTGAAGATCATATTTCCCTAGTTTCATGAATATCAAAAAGTTTTTGCAGAAATCTATATACATAATCGTTGGCTCACTATTACATGGCTCTATGTTAATTTTAATGAAGTTTAGTAATTTTTACATCGAACTTCGTTATTTTGTTACCGTATAAAAAAAACAACATAGAACTATGTAAAATTGAATATTTTGTAGTTATAGTGCCGCTATCTAGTGGTTTGTTGATGCAAAACTGTAGCTAATGACACATAGAACCTTGCAGCATTAATAACTAAATAAGTACTAAAATTGTAACATAGAACCTTGTAATAAGGAGCCAACGAATTATAATACAATTGTAACTAAGTCGAATCTGTACATTAAACATTTTTTGGAAAATCTAATTGAAATATACATTATTATCGATACAGAGGCCGAATCTATAGTTTTTAGAATTTTCTCTGACTGTCTGTCTGTTACCGCATCACGAGAAAACCACTGGACAGATTTTGATGAAATTTATATAAAGAATATTTTTCGATAAGATGTCACAACAAGCCAGAAATTAAAAAAACTATTTTTCAACGTTTTTTGTTCCTTATATACCTGCTAAAGTATTAAAGCCCCCAACCCAAATAGAAAATTAGATCCGCGCCTGGTGGTCAGATTTTCCTAAGTTACTGTTTTATTATATGTATATTTCAGCCTATGACAGCCCCCCCCCCCAAATTTAACTCTGGATCCGCGCCTGAATTGGTGTGCCGTGGTCGCTGCCTCAGTCTTCGAAATACAGAGGCAAGGGTAGCCGCAATCAATTTGCTAATTATATCAGAATATTATAAAAACTTACGTAAGAATCACCAAAGAAGAAGATAAACATTGCAATAAATAGTTTTATTTATTTTTTTTTTCATTTTGTAATAGATATAGACCCGGTAACAATAATTGAAAATAAAATAATGCTGTAAAAGTTAATAGCAGTAGATATTTATACTTCGCTAGTTATAATAAATGAGGCTCATTTTTATAAGTTGATGTTGCGTTGTCGTTTAATATACTTAATATTATATTTATTTTAAATTTTAAACTGTATTGAGGGATATGGGGATAATTTTGTATAGGTTATATTTATTTTATTACCAAAATGTACATATTTACCCAAGGTCTAAAATTATACTATCAAGATGCTGCTTAGTTTCTAAAATATAACTATAGTACAATTTTAGTGCGTGAAAAAATATTTATTCCCCATTTAATGTTCCTACTCTACTTATCATAGTTTCAAATCTTTTATCAAAGCAAATATTATAATATGTCACTTTCTCCAACCTTAAAAGACATTGCTTAAGTTTCAAGTGTACGCCTCTAATTTAAAAATAAATACCTAGCTCAAAACCAAATCCCAAGAAACACTGTCTATGAAAAGCTTAACGTACACAATACAAATCGACACAATTTTTAATTAGAATTGGAAATAACCTCTCATATAGTCGACATTTTTTTCTCAAAATAGTAAGAAGTCTTTCGAGGTAGGGAACTGAAATTTATGTTATACTTATTAATTATTGTTATTCCTTATTATTCCTATATCATTAAATAGGTATATATTAAATATTTGAGTTTTCTTTTCATACATTTTGCCCCACTCTACCCGAATAATAACAAAACTATTGTGGCAAATTAGACTTGAAATAATAAATTACAGAATTAGACAATTTACTTAGGTATATACATTATAGTGTCACCGGTGTGTGGAATATAATAATAATAATAATAATATTGTATTTAATATATTTTTACAGTGCCTAAGGAAATAGAAATGTAATAATTGTGCGATTTTTCTTAGTATTTAAAAGTATAACAAATAACTTATATCTAACAATTTGAGGTGAAGAAAGAAAACAAAAGTCATAAATAAATTATTATAAATTTATTCTTATCTATAAGTGTTCAACTATATCTAATGATCAAATTTTTCTATCCTAAATGAGGTCGGCCTAATGCGCACCATATAAAATCTTTATGAAGTAAAACTGAAAGAAACGGAAAATTCTGTACACTTATTTAACTTAATTATTATTAGGGATAAACTTATATAACTAATAATACAAACCTCAGGAGCTTTTTCCAAGTTATATTTAAATATCAGAGCCGCCCTCTCATAGCCTTTATCCCCATCCTCATACATCCACATCATTTACTATAAAAATTTACATTACATAATTAATTAATATACAAGTAATAATTACGTATTTCAGTAAAGATTTAAAAATAAAACCTAACCACTTTTACAGGCATCCGTAAATTGTTCAGCTTTTTTCAGTAGTTCTTCAGATAGAAACTTACGGGCTAATGCATTCACGCCCCTTCCACAGAAAGCACCCCTTGGTCATCCATCTGTAATTGTCATAATATTATGTAATATATCTAGATATACATATAATAAAATTGTAACTAAGCCGAATCTGTAGGTACATTAAATATTTTTTTGGAAAATCTTATTGAAATAGACTTTATTATCGATACAGAGGCCGAATCTATAGTTTTTAGATTTTTTTCTGTCTGTCTGTCTGTCTGTCTTTTACGTGGTTGTGCTGTTTATATGGGGGAAAATTGTTTATGATCAGAATTATTTGAAACTTGGAATTAATACTCTTTATTACAATTAAATAAACATGTATTTTAGAATTGACGACACGTTTGGCTCAGTTTGTAATGACGCTACATGCTTCGCCATTGGTCGCGGGTTCGAGTCCCGCTGGGCGCATTCATTTGTGTGAAGTGCACGAATGTTTGCACTCCAGTTATGTGCGTTTCATATTCATAATATGTATGTATTTAAAGTTATATATGTATAGTGCATCAACTATCTGGTATCTATAACACAAGCGTCATAGCTTACCATGGAACTAGATGGTGTTGCGTGTTAATGTCCTGACATATTTATTTGTTTTTCTAAATTCAGCCCTTACGGGGGTAAAACTGAGCAATAAATTTGGAGTTGGTTGAATTTATTTAATCAGAGTAACATGACGCAAGTTCTCCGTAAGTCCACACTTACTCTGTGGGATATAAAGTAGGGAACGGAAATTATTCCACAGCAATGACATCTGTAACAGACCTAGAGCGTGACAGAGAAAACCTAGCTGCAGAGTATCCTGCTAACTATATCCTACTTTTGAAAGTTAGCGCACCTGTAATGTAAAACTCACTTAAGTTATATAACGGGATTAGACTGTGAGTAATTCATTAAACATTATAGTGGCCACTGTGTTGGCTGGATCAGCTTGGGGAGAATCACTAATCATTCCTCGAATACCACTGATAACCTCTGACTACGCATTTGAATTTAATCTATTATAATTACTCTTTAAAGTTTGCTTTAAAAATTACCATTAATGTATCTCAGGGCCCGTCGTTAAAAGTAGCAGGCATTGACTTAAAAGAGGATTGCTTCTCACAGAGGTATTTTAGCAAAACTCAGAACTAGACAGAACATCCACAAGTGTGGTATATTTTTGGTTGATTTTTAGCGTAGACTATGTTTAGTTAAGCTAAAGTGATTGTACAGGATGGAACAAATCGATGCGACATGGAAGAAAAGTACCTTAAATATTGAAGTTATTAAAATTTACTCGAAGGCAACATTTCTTTATTTAAAAAAAAATAATAACTGCATTTAAGTTTTTTGAAAAAAAGCTTACCTGAACCGGGAATCGAACCAAATAAAATTGCAAAAAAGGATACCGGCACTATTTTATCGAATTTATCGATCTATGGGAAGGATAAAATCTCTCGAACAAACATTGTGTCTTAGAATTAAAGAAAATAATTAAATCTTCCAAATTATGCATATCGACTCTAACATCGTGTAACAAACGTATAGGTCATGTAAGAAAAGTATCTTACTCACTGAAAATATCAAGTTTCACTCAAAGGAAAATTATTTTATTTTTTAAAGCAATATTCACTGCATTTTTTTTTAAAAGAGGTGATGTAAACCGGTAATCGAACCAACAGAAAATGCAAAAGGGTACACACTCTTTTATACAAAAATGAAAATTTATTTACAGAATATACCTATCTACGTTTAACATCTTTAAAAATACTGGATATTTTGAGTTAAGATCGCAAAAATTAATTTGTTTACCTATATTTTTAAGAAATAATATGAAACACGAAAATATATTTGCGAATAATAAAGTATGTATGTATTGCGAAAAAAGTTTTTTTTGTAGTCTGATCAGCCTAAATGTTGTAGGTACTCTTAACAACTAAATTCATATTACTTTAACAATTTTATACGTATACTGATTTACTTATTTTTCATGAATACATTTTGGGCTTCGAAAATATCGGATTAGGTATCTATAGTAAATGAAAACCCCGTTCATTAATCTTTTACTTTTTAGTACTTTCTTAGATTTTTTGAAATCGGTTTAATTTTTTTTTAAATTACTGATTCCTAATTTTTAGTTTTAAGTGCATTTTTAGTTCTAACTGAAATAGTTTTTGTAATAAGTAGTAATTAAAAAACTATTTCATTTTACACGTTTTAGTCAGTATCATAAAAACTACTGAAAAGATTTTGATGAAATCTTTACTATTCCCCAAGTTAAAATAAATGTAAGCAAATAAAAAAAAAGCTAACGATCCGTTAACTAGTTCCGGAGAAATGCGTGGACAAACATAAATAAATACACCTGTCAAATTTTGTACATTTGTTTGAAAGCCCTAATAGATTATCATATGTGAATATTTCGCCAATTTATAATTTTCAATAATATTATATATCTACCTAAGTTGGTAAATAAATTTCAAAAATTACTCATAATCTATACGTATATTATATACTAATATTATAAAGAGGTAAAGTTAGAATTGTGAATTTGTGAGTTTTAGACGTTGTAGGGAGTAATCCCTGGATCTATTAAACCGATTTAGATGAAATTTGGTAAGATGATAGTTTGAGACCCTGGGAAGGACATAGAATACTTTTTATCCTGGAAATTATCCCTTAAAGGGGTGAAAATGGGGATGAAAGTTTGTATGGGGAATCAAGCTAGAGACGAACCCGTGCGAAGCGAGGGTGTGTCGCTAGCTCAGAATACAACCCGAGCGTCCAGTTCATTAGGCATTAGTTTTGGAGTTATGGACTAAAGAAACGCACATAGATGCACGGTAACTTCCCTTGTGAACCTACTAATTTAAAATAATACAACTGTATTTTTTGTATATATTTTTTTATTATAAAATAGCACTCACACGCAAATTACATTAAAAACAAAACAAACAGTTAAGAAAATCTTTATCGGTAAATAGTAGCGATCTTGAAATACAGTTTTTATTCTATTTTAAATCCAAGCTGAAAAAAAAATAACAAAAATATAAAAGTTAAGTAGGTACTTATTAAACTTAAGGTAGGTTGTTATGTACTTATAAAAACTTAGTAGCTAAATATGATATTAATAACGGGGTATATGATTATTAATAATTGTAGGCTAAATAAAAAATACTTAGGAACACGATAAAAGTCATAGACGAAAAGTAGTATTATTAAATATTATTTTTACCTTTGGAGCATTTTCCGTAAGACATTTAAATATAAGTACGGCTCTCTCACACCCCTTCTCGCCATCACTGACTTCCTCATCATTTACTAAAATAACATAAATCCAAGTGAAAATAAGTTTATAAATTGGGAAAAAGCATTTTACTTATAATTATACCGAAGAAAGAATATACATAGCTAAGGATGATAATAGGTATTTAGTTGAGTAAATCAAGCATTGGTCAAACTTTACGCTATACGAAAATATGTCTGCTTACAATTTAAAGGAATTTAAAATTAGATATGTAACATATATATTTTGAGTGATGGAATTAACAATAATGTAGTTCAGTCTAAAATAAACGCGCAAAACTTATTAAGCCTTTTATAAAGCTTTTATTTAATACTTTCATATTATAGGTATTATTTAAATGTTAATTTACAGTATTTTTATTCATATTTTTTTTATATAAAGTTATCTGTACAATTGATTTCTACTTAAAGTTTTACCTTTTGCGCAAATATCTACTAATTTTCTTGCATTTTCCAATCTTTTCTCATCTCCATTTTTCGTCATTTCCGCAATTTTATAACCTGCTTCTAGATCGTACAATCCTTTGCTATTCATCTGAAATAGTTAGACATGAATTTTATAAAGAAAAGTGTACCATCATATTGTTATCAAATATAATATGTATTTTGGCATTCTGGCTATTCTGCATTGTATATATTAATTAGTATCAAGTATTTTTGAGTAAGTAAATATTATGGCTTTACATCTCTTACAGTAAATATAAGTAAAATATAATTGAAACTTACAGTTTTCGCCTTCTTATAGGCACATGCCAATAAACATTTGACTTCCGGCTTGGTGGGAATTATTAGTTTTTGCAAACTTAATAAATCCTTCATATCGACGCTGTAATCTTTTGTACAGGCCATTAACAATTTTGTAAATTCCTCTTTCACTTCTGCATCAGTTAGTTCCTTATAAAACATAAAATAACATATTCAATATTAGAGTGACGAAAATAATTACCGTCAAGCTTTAAACAGTGACAGCAGATTCTAATAGTAAGAGTACCAGAAACTTTTGGTCGTTTAAACAGTATCTTTGGGTTCTCTAAATACCAATTGCTTGGAATTGAATCTACCGCTGTCCGTCTTCGACCAACAACACAGGCCGTATGTGGTCAATAAAAATATGATCAATAAAATATCTCGACTATCTACTGTTCCCCTAATATAATCAAATCAAGTCATGCGAGAGCGTACAGATTTCCCTTTCTTCGAGCTTAGATAAAAGAAGGCTCGTGTGCCGTGGTCGCTGCCTCAGTCTTAGAAATGCAGAGGCAAGTGCAGCCGCAATCAATTTGCTAATAATATCAGAATATTATAAAAACTTACGTAAGAATCGCCGAAGAAGAAGATAAACATTACAATAAATAGTTTTAGATTTTTCATTTTGTAATAGATATTAAAACCCGGTAACAATAATTGAAAATAAAATAATGCTGTAAAAGTTAATAGCAGTAGATATTTATACTACGCTAATTATAATAAATGAGGCTCATTTTTTTTAAAATTGATGTTGCGTTGTCGTCCAATTTACTTATTATTATATTTATTTTAAATTTTAAACTGTATTGAGGGATATGGGGATAATTTTGTATAGGTTATATTTATTTTATTACCAAAATGTACATATTTACCCAGGGTCTGAAATTATACTATCAAGATGCTGCTTCATTTTTAAAATATAGCTATAGTACAATTTTATTGCGTGAAAAAATATTTCTTCCCCATATTATGTTCCTACTCTACTTATCATAGTTTAAATTTTTTTATCAAAGCAAATATTATAATAAGCTATTTTCTCCAACCTTACAAGACATAGCAAAAGAAGTATGAACTGAGATGAGTCTTATTTTATATCTTAATATTATATCTAGTTAAAAATTATTGTTCAAGTGTACGCCTCTAATTTAAAAATAAATACCTAGCTCAAAACCGAATTCCACAAAACACTCATTTTTTTCTGCCTATCTGTTTACCTATCTATGTCTATGAACAGCTTAACGTACACAATACAAATGGACAGATAATTTAATTGGAATTGAAAATAACATCTCATAAAGTCGACATATTTTCCTCAAAAAAGAAAGAAGTCTTTCGAGATAGGTAACTCAAATTCATATTATACTTAATAATTATTATTATTTATAATTATTCTTATATTATTAAATAAGTATATATTAAACATTTAAGCTTTCTTTTCGTACACTTTGCCCCACTCTACCCGAATAATAACAAAACTATTGTGCCAAATTAATTATACCTTAAATACTAAATAACAAAATTAGACAATTTACTTATGTATCAACGGTGTGTGGAATATAATAATAATAATATTATATTTAATTTATTTTTGCAGTGCCTCAGGAACTACAAATCTAATAATTGTGAGATTTTTCTTAGTATTTCAAAGTATAACAAATAACAACTAATATCTAGAATTTCTGGTGAAAAAAGAACATAAAAGTCATAAATAAACTATTATAAATCTCTGTAACAACTATACCTTCAAGACATGTAACACCTCAGTCTCTCCCGTGACCATGGATGCTGTAAAGCATTCGAAACGTCGGGAACCAAAAATCAAAATAAATCCGCGAAATAATCCGAAAAGATAGTTTTATTTAAAAATGTCAAACATTCGCGTAAATCTAAGAAAGTATTATTATAAATCTATTCTTATCTACAAGTTTTCAACTAGGTACTTGTGATTGTCTAATTTTTCTGTCCGAAATGAGGTGGGCCGAATGCGTACCATATAAAACAAAAAGAAACGAACAATTTTAGGCACTTAGGTAATAAATGATTAATTATTATTAGTGATAAACTTATACGAGTATAACTAATATAACAAACCTCGGGAGCTTTTTCCACGCTACATTTGAACATCAGCGCCGCCCTTCTCATCCGCATCACATCCTTTATCCCCATCATTTACTATAAAAATTTACATTACATAATTAATTAATACACAAGTAGTAATTACATATTTCAATAAAGATTTAAAAATAAAACCTAACCACTTTTCTGTTTCTATAAATTTTTCAGCTTTTTTCAGTAGTTCAGGAGCTTATCAGATTAATATTTTTCATTTTTCATTTGTAAAAGTATATATTAATAGTGTTGCTTAGTAAGTTGTTTTTAAATAATAGCAAACTAAATTAAAATTATTAACCTTAATTAATTTTAACTTTTTAAATTACACATAGAACAATTATATGGCTTAAATAATTAATACTATATTTTATATTTTTCGTTATGGTTATAAATATAATAATGGCAACACTAAATATAGATTACTAATTAATATTTTAAAATTGTAATAATTATAAAAATAATAGCAAAAATTAAATAAATAATTTTCCATATTCAATTATAATTAAAATTATAAAAATGTTTTAAAGTTAAAAATATTGTAATGTAATTGGTGCATTTTTCATTTTGTTAATTGTGGGATAAGGGCTGTCCTGTAACAACTATACATTCAAGACATGTAACACCTCAGTCTCTCCCGTGACCATGGATGCTGTAAAGCATTCGAAACGTCGGGAACCAAAAATCAAAATAAATCCGCGAAATAATCCGAAAAGATAGTTTTATTTAATAGTTCAGGATCTTTAGAAAGAAACTTACGTCGCTAATTCATTCACGCCTTCTACAGGGAGCATCCCTTGGTCATCCATATATAATTGCAATAATATTATCATGTATACAAATGAAGTATCTTATTTGTATGAGCAAAAACAGTCTTATGAACTCCATGGAGATTGTCCTTTCTACAGAATATGCATATCAGTAGTGTAAGTTATAAATTAAAAATTTAAAAAACCCCCTACGCAAATTAATTGTCATTTGACGATAACACTGGCACGCGTGAAGCACTTAATCGAGTAATCATACGCCAAAATACCTCACATCATTTTGGAAAAGAGCTGATACTCTTACACTGATGATGATGATGATGTTCTCCTAGCCGATTCCGGCCACGGCGGCCAATCTCAATGAGATTAGCCAACTGCGCAGGAGATATTATAGTGCTCAAGTGTACGCGCAGACACAAGTGCACTCTCTATTCCTATCACTCTCATACTCCGGTGGGACGACCACTCGACACGACCGGTGAGAGTTAAGGCGCAGGACCGACGGCTTTACGTGCTCTCCGAGGCACGGGGGTGAAACACCGCCAACTTCCCAACTCCGGGCTGTTACTGAGACTTACTATACAGGAAGACTCAATAACTAAACTTGGCCCGACCCGGGACTCGAACTCAGGACCTCCGGGTGTGCAGCCGTACATGCTAGCCACTACACCACCGAGGCAGTTACACTACTACACCTCTTACACTACTGCACCGATATTAACCAAATATAGAACCACCGTAAGGAAACTGACTTTCAAATGAAAAAAACTGCATCGAAATCGGTCCATCCGTTTGAGAGCTACGATACCACAGACAGAAATCGACGTCAAACTTATGACACACCTCTTTTTACGTGGGGGGTTAAAAATAGAGCTTAACTCGCATGACTAGAAGAGGCAATACGTATATGTATAAATAATTGTAATAAATAATATCACTGATAACATTCAGATAGGTAATTAAAAAGTAATAAGAATTAAAAGTTAAAATCAATTTAGTTTTGAAAACAGACTACATATTATGTATATTTAATTTATGTTGTGGTAGGTACTATATACTTTCATATGCATACATATATAGTAAAAAGCTTTTTAAATAATGCTTAAATAAATGATTAGTATTTTTAATATTCTTTATGGTTATACATAATATAATAATGGCAACACTAAATAATATTAGTAATTAATAAAGTTTTTGAAAAAAATGTAATATGTAGTTTGTGGTTGTTTTGTGGTTAGATCCATTTTGCATAACTACGTCCATATATTGAATTTTTTTTTTTTAGCGGGAAATCTCTTTGATTTCCTATAGATATAAGTACCATGATGGTAGTATGTCTATACAATGCATAAGTATAACCATATATGTACCCGCATGTATAATGTATAAGAAGCAAAAATATATGACCATTCGAATAATATCTGATTGCATGATTCATTCATTAATATTTATTATCACGATGACAAAAAAAATACAACCGCTCTGAAAACCTTCTCTTATTTTGAAGTTGGTTAAAAATACACGACATCGAAGGAATAACAAGGCTGCATATCTGACTATATAGACACATGATGCAAAAATGTAGGATGCCGCTTCGGCTGCAAAATAACTGTCACCCCTTGAATGCATAAATAAAAGATTTGTCTTACGTTATTCCACTATTCACTTTCTTGTTTCATCAACAGATCAACTCGATAGTATCAAAGTTTTAAATCGATAAGATAATAGTATATTAGAATCAACTTTAAATGAATTAGAAAGTTTGATTTCATAGGTACACGTGAAGCTAGTAAAAGCTTGTTAAAAATAACCAAAAAACCTTTTAAATAACTTTACCATTCCTGTACCTTTGTAAGTGCACGCGAAAAGACATTATCAGGCACCTGGAGTTTTTTTAATTGATCTATATCTTCTAGCGGTACTGGAACTGCCTGTGATAAAAGGTAATAATGTAAGGGTACTATTATAGTTGTTATTTTATATTAGAGAGAATTATGACTTGTTATATGTATATCGAAAGCTCTTTTTATTAATACTTTTGAAAGCAATATTTACCTACACAATAATGCATTCATTTTGGTACAATTCAGTACGATTAAACATTATTTAATACTAGTTTTTGTCCGCAGCTTCGCTAGCGTGATAAGCGTGGCCTATGTTGGACATAGGCCTGGGATCGGTCCCAGGATGAAATCTATGACTTTGCCAAATTTTATCGAAATCGGTTCAGCACAGTGACGTAACTAGACTTTTTGGGCCCCAATGCAAAAAAAATTAGAAGTGTTCCCTTTGCCTATTTTGAACACGAATGTGGTCTACAGATACAGTTTTCGAACTTCTCACTATTTTTAAACTGCTCTCACGGAAGAACGGGTAGAATAAAAATATCTAAAAAAGCTGAGCTTAGAGGATCATTCATCGTATTGCAGAAAATAAGTATAATCACATCCCTTGTGGTCCTCGTAAAAAATAATGTGCGGAAATTTAGGACACTTTTTTCTTAATTTTTTTTTTAAACTTCTATGAGGGCCGTCCTCGAAAAAATGTCTTAAAATAAAAGAATCGCTTGTGGCCCACTGGGGTCCTCTTGAATCAAAGGCATCATGCGACCGCATTGGTTGGTTGGCACAAGTTCAGCGGTTTAAGCATGAAAAGGTAACAAACCGTTACTTTTATATACTATAATATTATATTAGTATGGATTAGTACCTAACTTACCCTCTCTTCGCTTTGGTTCGTCCATAAGAGCGTTTGGTGGAAGGTGTATTTAAATTATTATATACAAGCAGCGCCAATTCAACCTATATGCTAATTCAGATCATGGTTTGTGTACTAAATTTTATCTAATTCCGTCAAGCTGCTTTAGCGTGAAGCAGTAACAGACAGATGCACACATACAAATTTCCGCATCTGTAATAGCTAGCGTTTACCATATGTTTATATCTCACTAAAGAATAATTAATAAAGCTTAAGAAACTAATGGATGGAAATCAGACAAAAAAAAGTAAAACAGTTTCTGTATTTTGAAGATATTTACATAAAAAATATTACTTACTTTGTTTATTAGATATTCCTGACTCAAAATATTTACCAATACCAATTGTTCAAGTTTTTGGTCTGCTAGATTTTTTTCTACCGATTTCCAAAAAGGAGGAGGTTATCAATTCGTCGGATTTTTTTTTTCTTTTTTTTTATGTATATTCACCGATTACTCGAAGACGCTTGAACCGATAAGGATTTTTTTTTGTTTCAAAGGGTATACTTCCCAGGTGGTCCCATATTAATTTTATCGAAATCGGTAGAGCGGTTTTTTAAAAAATCAACAATAAATATATTTTTTTAATAAATTGTTTAATCGAATATGTTATTAAAAAAAATTCTTACAAATTACTTACTGATTATGTTTACACTAAAAATGAAAAAATAAAAACTTAAAAAAATAAATAAAAACCGACTTCCAGGCACTGAAATGAAAAAAAATAACTAAACGGGGGTTTTCATTTAGAATACATACCTAATCAGATATTTTCGAAGTCGGTGCCAGCCGACAATATTTTAAGATATGAATATCTTATAGCTAAATATGTATTTTACGTATAGAAATATATTAGATTTGTTTTGCATCGGCATCACAGCAAATGGAATAAAATCATAATTTTGACTAGGGAGGCCTATTTACGTAACTTAAGTAGTTCAGCCATCTCCGCCGCAGCTCCTTTAGATACCGTCTCCATGTCATGGGACGGGACCAATGTGTCATGTCAATTTTGTAATATTTATAGCTATTCTATAATGCTAGTCTTACAATTATTTAAGTTTCAGACACACTAGAAGTGATTTTTTTTAAGGAAATGAATGTATAATTCAAAATCATGCACTAAATATTATTCAAAATTCCCTAAACTAACATAAGAACTAAATAAATTAGCCTACTCAAACATTAAGCTAATATGGAACTAAGCAGTCCTCAATTTGTATGAAGTTTTCTATTTATGGCATATAATGATTTATGAATACGTTGTCATTTCCTAAAATCTTTGTTGCCTAATAACATCTAATAATGAATTTACAGTATCATTACTCTAATTAATAGTTTGTTATGTACATATATAAGGCTGTTTTGGGAGCCAAGTTACATACAGTAATTTTTCAACCAGTACGCAGGTCATGCAATTCAAGATGTGGTCTGCTATATTTTGCATTACTTATTTAATTAGCTCGTTCTTTAATGGTGTTTTGGTAAGTCACATTATTTTTCTTGATAAGGAATTTTGTTCATCAAAATTTTTTAACGATAAAGCTGTACTTAATTTTTCATATTTGGTATAGTGCCTATGCCATAGCTGTTAGCTTTCCAGATGAATCCTGGTGGATGTGCTACTTTAAACAAATAATCTCTTAAAAAGCCTCTACTTCTTAAACCAGTGATAAGTGATTGTCCTCAGGCTAGCCCTTCAAAGGACCGGGTTCCTTGGAGCCCGTTGTTTTTGACGATTGTTGACATAAACTTTAACTCCATAGAAATCTTGTTCTAAAATGCCACATTTGAATAATCAAAATATATTTAATTTTTTTAACATAAAATGTAACTGATTTAAAATGTTTTCAAAAATTATCAAAAAACAATCAACATTTACCGTATTTTTCAAGACACATGTCAGAATATACAGCGGCCACCATAGTAAATTTTGTTTCTTCATACATTAACTTTATAAAATATTATTATAACTGAAAAAACTTTATGGTACAATGTATAGTACAATATAACGAGTTGTGTTTTTATCCATAATAAAGCACCTTGATTTTTATCAACTAGCCCGACTTTTTTTTTATTTCTTTTGTATTATCGTGCTCTTTTTTAAAAATACAAAAAAACGGGAAAATATCAAAATATTTATAACTAGCAGAACCCGCCGCTTCGCTTGCTACTACAAATAAAATCTCAAAAAAGGTAGGTTTCATACAAACTTTCATCCCCTATTTTACGTTGAAATACGTAACTCATTATTTTTGCCGTACTCAATTCATATGAAATTTAATGCAAATATGTCCAAGGAATAAAAAGCTTCATACAAACTTTTGTCCCCTATTTCACCCCCTTGGGGGTTGAATTTTGAAAAATCCTTCCTTAGTAGATGCTTTCGTCATATGAGGAAGGCGTGTGCGAAATTTCAATATACTAACCTTAGCGTTTTGCCTGTGCGTTGATAGATCAGTAATCACTCTTGCCTTTTATATAAATTATATTGACAGATGGGCTTTATTAATGCGCAAATAACCACATGAACTCAAATTAAATTTTATTAATAAATTTAGATTTTTATATTATTTTTTTTTATTTTCCAGAAATAACTTAATTACATTTAGTTCACTAAAATGTTTAATTTTCTTAATGTAATAAAATTTCAGGCCATAACTGAAGAACAAAAAGCTATGATTCATGAACATTTTGAGATATTGGGAAAAGAATGTATTAAAGACAACGTTATAAGTGCCGATGACATTAATAACTTGAGAGCAAAGAAAATGCCAAGTGGTGACAAAGCGCCTTGCTTTTTAGCTTGTATGTTCAAAAATCTTGGTGTTGTAAGTAATTTCATTTGATAATAATTATCTTCTATAATATGTATTTTACTGACATTTACAACTCAACAATAACGAAATGCTTTACAATAAACATAAACAGTGACGGGAGAGACGTATTTCCCATGTTTACTGTAATACATTTACAACATCAGGAATCAAAAATCCAAATAAACCGCAAAAAAAATCCAAAACTCAGTGTTCTGTCTAGTATCTTTAGCAAATCTGGCTTCTCAGTATTTGAAGCAACTATAGAATATATCTACTGATAAGATAGATATAAATAAAATAAAGTTAATAAAAAAGAGATTTTAGTTTTGTTTTTTTAAGTTTAAAAAATCGATCTGGTTTATTATATTTTAATACTAAAACCATGAAAATACCAACGTACACCAAAAAGTACCCACCAAATACTTATACATTTTGTTTGTCTATTTCTAATGTATGCGCTTAATGCTTTTATGTACCTTTCGCCTGAGTGATGTAGTGCTGTGCTAAGTTCATATAATACTATCCTAAATTTACGTGAATATTTGACATTTTAAATGAAACATTTTTTTTCGGATTTGGTCGCGATTTAATTTTTCCCCGACGTTTCATTTAAACTATGCTGTTATTGAACATTAAAAAGTTTCTTATATTGTCCCATCAACCTATGATATGTACGCCACTTGTATCGGATGACCTCAAATGGTTGTAATTTTCAGAAATATTCTGAATATAAAATGTACTTATAAGCAGTAAGTCATTTATGTATACATGATATTTTGCTATACGGGAAAGCTAGACACAAATAGAGAATATGCATAAAATAATATATTTAACGAATGTGCATTAAAATGACCTATTTTAACAGTTTTTAATTTTATTATGTATTTTTGATTATTATTTTAGATAGATGACGCTGGCATACTCCAAAAAGAAACAGCATTAGATTTAGCGAAGAAAGTATTTAACGACGATGATGAGGTGAAACTCATTGAAGATTATCTTCACTCTTGCTCTCATGGTAAGTGTATAAATAATTAAGCGACAAAGAAAAAGGTATAATAAAAATATTAAAGTATTAATAGTGTCAATAATCATAACCTTATAAATAACTATTTTAGAAGGTTATGGTTACAGGTTGAGGTCGCGGTCTTGTCTTCACAAAGCGAATGTCATTATAAAGTATTAACTATGACAAACTTAAACAAAATATGTGGATTCAATATGCATAGTTCTATGACAAAAACGATTCTAAATAACATTTATAACTTTATATATAGACAAAGTATTGACTCAACCTCGCTTCGCTCGGGTTCATATCCCTGGGAACATTTTAACGGTTAGTATAGATTTCTCAGAGATAGGATATTTTCCCGCAGTAAAAATCCTATATATTGACCCGGATACCCCGATACCATCATACCAAAATTTCATCAAAATCTGTCCAGTAGTTTTCTCTTGATGTATTCCCATACAGACAGACCAAAATTCTAAAAAGTATAGATTCGGCCTCTGTATCGATAATAATGATTATTATTTCAATAAGATTTTCACAAAAATATTTTATGTACAGATTCGACTCAAAATTTTAATATATGTATAGATGTTTTATTACAAAGATTATTTTTTAATAAATCGAATAAAAAAAGCATGTTAATTAAAATCCTAGTCCATATAATACCATATAATACATTAAAAAATGCATTTTGATTGTGGATTTACGTAGTTTTGACGTGCCTAATAATGTCCACATATGTATGCCAATAGTAAAAATAAATTAGTCATAAGTAGTTTGATAGCATAATTATGCAAAAGAATATTTTTTACCTATCGCGCTAAGGACCACTAACAAATATGGAATGTGCTAGCATTAATTGGTAATTGAATGGAAAAACCACATTCAAAATATTTCGTCTTTATACCCCGTCACCCAGTTCCGTCTTTACCATAAGGGCACACGGGGCACATTCCCATTTCCCGGGGACCCTAGTCTCACGAGGGCCTCGAAAAGATATTTTCTTTTACATGGAAAAGATAGAAGTTCCGTTTTTAGTTTATTATGCACTGCCCTGTATACTATATACTGAATAATATTATGTTCCTTTGTCAATTTTTTCCATCTTTTTAGCTAACTTCTTTAAGCCATCAATTTTTTTTTAATTTTTGTAGTTTATTTATTATTATTTTTTGTCATTCAAATTTTTTTACCTTTCAATAAGGGCCCTAAATTGTAAACGGCAATGCCGCCACCCAGTGAATGATATGAATATAAAAAAATTACCGTCTTTCCTAAAAATACACTATAATGTGTTCTTATAAATCTTTAGATCAAAATTAACTTTTTTAATATTCACTTACAGTAAACAAAGAAGCAGTTAGCGATGGCGCGAAAGGTTGTGATCGTGCTATATTGGCATACAAATGTATGATAGAAAATGCTTCACAGGTATTTGTTTTTTTTTTATTAATAAGAATAACTAAGCCCAATAAAAAATCTATAATTTGGTACTGGACTGTTTGTACACATATTAACATTTATTTTTATTTATTTTTATCAATCTCTGTAAGCGCTAAAAGATATATTCGAGGATAAAGACATCTCAGATTAATGACCATGTTTTGTTTTTCAGTTTGGATTTCAAATATAAATGGGATTACGTGGTACCTACTGACGACGGTCTTACTCCTATTATCAGTGTGTATTATTACTAATTTATATAAAAATTAAAATTGGTGAAAATGTTATGGTCTTATTATTTTTAAATTTCTACCAAGTAATTATAGTAACATTACAAAACCATAGTTCCCAAACTCTTTAATTTTTAGTTATTTGGTTTGCTTAGAAACAAAATTGATTGAAATTACAAGTACATTTAATAAGTAGTCGGATATAAATTAAACTCTCTTTATTTTAATGAAACATAACAATGCAAGCGAATATATTAATAAAATAATTAATCATCTAGGGAGAGATATCGATGTCATTCAGAAATACTTTCCTTAGCGGGTTTTGCCGAACTGAAACAATAATAGTGTTATAACTCGTTATATTTTCTCTTATAATTATTATTAAAATAAATAAAGTTTGAGTTTTAAAATTTTATACCTCTGCTTGAAGTGGAAGTAAGCAGTCAAACAAAAGCTTAGCTCTGTCACAGCCTTTTTCACCGTCGCTTACATCTTTTTCATTTACTGAAATTATTTACATTGTATTATATTCTTACTTAGGATCATTTTATTATTATAAAATATTCTATAGTTACATTGCATTATTATTAGAAAAAAAATCAATACTTATTGATAGTCATTTTGAGTGAAATATATTTTATGTAAATACCTGACAAGCATGTCTTAATAACATCCGTGGTCTTCTGCTGATCATCCTCACTGGCTATGAACTTCTGGGTTAGCTCTTGAGCCTTATCGGCGTCAAATAATCCTTTGTCGTTTATCTAAAATATTTAAACATTAAGTAGCAAAACGATAATTAATTACTATATCTAGGTGTTTTGTGTAAGGCATTTTTAATAAAAACTGTATTTTTTTTTAATATGTAATAATAACAGAATCTAAATTTTTGTACAATTAAAGAGAATTAAGAGATTGACAGCTCGATCCTTAATATGACTTCTTACATTTTTTATATACTAAGAAAGGTACTGTACGTAACGTTAAAAATGCAAATGGAAAAGGATAACACTTTTATCTAAGTCAAATCCAACTGTCAAAACTGCAATTGAAATTATTGTAGATTAAAATTAAATATTAGATTAGCAATTTATAAATTTTATAATACGTACTAAATTAATTTTCTTAAACACACACCCCATTAGGCATGGGTTGACTGAACCAAGCTTGTCAGATTCTTTAGCTTCTTTTATTTCATCTTCCGTGATGCCAAACTCTTTGCTGCATTCCAACACGTGTGGTAGCATTCCTGCATGAATTTTGTTTCTCTCCTCTTCAGATATAGCCTAAAAAATTTTTTTTGTTCGTTAATGTTTTAAATTTTATTTTTTATCACTTATTTACGTATTAAGTGGTTTATTTTCTCTCTTGTACCAACCTACGTACGTATATCACAAGTATTTTTAACTAAACAGTATGCAAACGAAATAAATAAAAAATATGGCATACTTAATTAAGATGAAGAAATTGTAACTAAGTTTGTAATCCTTTTAAGGTAATTTTTCAGTCAGTTATTTTTTTTAGTTAAACCTAAACTAAACTTGACTAGCTTATTCTACGAGAAAAAGAAATCATTAATAGGTAAATGTTGTGGCATTTTTCACCGACTTCTAAAAGAAGGATGTATATTGTTGGCTGCATGTTACAATTGTTTCGCCAATTTTTTGTATTCCCCGATTGCGAATTGATTTTCATATTTCTTTTTTTTAGTGAATAGGCGATTTATTATACCTCAAAAGTCTCTAGGTTGAATTAATTATCTTTTAAGTCAATTCTTTGCAAGAAAAAATATTTTTTAGTAAATTTAAAATTAGTACTTTTTTATATATTTATCTTTTTATTCTATTCATATATACTTATATTTAATTTAAAACCGCCAAAATTAACTATTGAACTACAAAATTCAAATTTCCCTCATCAATTATGACTTGGTTGATGTGTGCAAGATGTTTGTTCCATGCAATTTCATGAATTTAATTTAACAATAAATATTAAATTGGTATTTTTAAATTTTATACTTTTATATGAAATACTTTTTTTATAAATCTTATTACTTTATAAGATGTACATATAATAATTAATTATATTTTTGCTCAACTGAAGTCAAATGACATACAGACGACCTAATATTTGTAAAGGCACGATAAAAGTAATTTTTGTCTTTTATTCATACTCGTAAGTTAATTTCGTACAATATGAGCTTTAATTACTGATCAACATACAGAACGAGAACATTTGAGAAAAAGAGAAACAGAAATTTTACAAATAAATATTGTTACTATGTTCAGCATCTCTTACCTTGATGGATCCTAAGCTCACAGCTAACACTCCAAAAACTAAAAACACAAATTGTAGAGACTTCATGTTTACAGTAAGTTAAATAAAATATTCTATTACAGGTGTTTACTGTTGCCTTTCTTGATGACTACTTGTGCTGAGGAAACCGATCTTACATATTTATATACAAAGGAGCCATGGTCAATTAATCTTTTTTTTAAGATGATTATCTAAACTGAGCTTCATGTAAGCGATTAATACTAACGTAAAAAACTTGTTATTTTGGTTTTCTTTAAGGATATGTTCTTTTCGTTTCAATGTTTTACAAGTAAAGGAACATTATTATAACCTGTTTTTCAAATTACATCTATTAGTCCTTAGTGGATAGCTATGAAAAATAAAAGTGAAGCTGAGAAAAAAATTCGATGCATGATATTCCTTACATTGTGATGGTGATTCTATAATCGCTTTCATGTTAATTTTACTTTTATTTTGTGGCTTAATGAATATTATAACCTCAAAATCGTCAAAATTATTTTACTGTGTCATTATTTTTGATTACGTGCAATCTTATCCTAAAGATCTGGTTGATATTGCTATGTTTTTTTTAGGATCATATGACCATACTGATTTCATTTTTTAAACAAAATCATCATTTATCGATGGAACTAGGCTTATGATGATGATGACCATACTATTTTTATTTGCCAAGTAAAGCCGTGGCCATAATAACGTCGACTGAAAAGGAAGAAACTGTGACCGTGATAGCCTGGTGCAGTGCTGAAGGAGTATTTTTAGGACAAAAATAAAAAAGCCGAGTACGAGGAAGCTGCGTACCAAATAAAGCACCAATGCAAATGCAAAGCACCTGACTCGAAATCATCCTAACCAGGAACGTCGAAATCTGTTACAGACACTATCAAATATCACCTAAGCATAGTTAGGGGGCTGTTAGGGAACAGTTTCTGTTTCACCGACAGTTAGGGGTCACCTAAATGTCAAAATGCCACCTAAATATAGGTACTAGAAATACGGGCTCTGACGATGGTAAAACGAAATTTAATTTAGGGGCTAGTTTAGGGGACTTTGAAGCTAGGGATCCCATACGTAGATGGTAGCTTATGAGTTGTTGGTTCTAAATGTTGTAATGAATTAAATCCAGTCCCAAAAATTGCTTGATTTGCCAGAAAATGTGCAAGAGAAGTAGGTACTTAGCAGCAGAGTAGCAAATAAAGTATCAAAGAAAGGAAAGAAAAAAAATAGAGAAGAAACAAAAAAATACGAAATCGAAAGCCATGTTCTTAAATGCATCCATGCATCATGAAAATTATTCGCCGTTTGAATATATTTGCGTCACAAAAAGGCAAAAAAAGTTGAAGACATGGAAAATAATAATAATAAATATGTTGGGGCATGAACACATGACGGTAAGAGAAAAGGCAAGGGAAAAATAACGAAGAAATAATATGGCCATCTTCTACATCTTGCTATGGCTATCTGAGATGGATAGGTATGATAGCCACTTACTTATTTTTTTTATAAATTCTAGAGATAAATCCACCTTTGCTAACTAATTTTACTTCATGTTAATTTCTGTATCTAATATATGAGTATAATACAGAATATATATATATATATATATATATATATATTATATATATATATATATATATATATATATATATATATATTAATCAATCTTCTTCTTCTATATAGTATATTAATCAATCGTAACTAAAATTGGTTAAATTATTACAACTTATCTATTACAAAAACTATTTCTATTTTTACTTAAAATTAAAAATTACGAACCATAAAAGGAATTTAAAAAAACCGGCTTCAAAAAAAACAAAAACTTCCAGGCACTAAAAAGTTAAAAATAACTGAACTGGAGTTTTCATTTAAGAAGAAGAAGAAATCAGTGCCAGTCGACAATGCTCTAAGTCTTTCTAGTAGGTAAATATGACAAGATATGAACACTTATGCGTGTTTATTTTTTATGCAATAGCTTGCATCGTTATAATATAATTGTAAAAAAATATCCAGCTCTAAAAAACTAAAATGTCATATATTTTATTATATTATTTTAAATATCATACCGATAGGAATACTTTAAATCCCCGCCATTACGCACCCTTGGCAAGACGTCATACACAGAATAATGACGACTTTTGTATAAGCAATTTGTAACGATTAATCGCTAATCGCTCTGTTATAATATACTTTGGCGTCATATTCGGTCGGACCTACGGTGTTGTGTTTCAACCTTGAATTTCCCACCTACATTTGCAATTTTTAATAGGTTGTGGCCGATAGTCGGATGAATAAAAAATATATTATTCGTCCGACTAGTGTCGGTTTGTACGAATATTTACCATTTTTTTTTTGTTTTCTAATGTAAAATAAATGACTTTTAGGTGCAGGAGTTTCTGTATGCCAAAAAAAGCAACCTTAACCTACCGAGCTGAGCTACTTATTCTACTTACTTATAATAAGTCTACTCGTCCTTCCTTATAATTTGTAAATTTTATAAAGGACGCATAATTATTTTTTATTCATCCTTGTTTCGGACGACCAGAACCAGGGTATGTCTAGTACCCGGAGGTCGACCTGGGACAATCTCCCAGACGTTCTTGGCGTACACGGCAGTATGTCCGTTCGCTGGTAATGTACGCCACCACGCACCCCTGAATGCGTAGCTTGGGTCCCGATCCACTAGGGTTTCTTCGTTGACAGGAGACTATACTTAGAGGCGATGAAATAAAAACACAATTTTTTCCTTTTTTCTCTCTTGGTTTCGGTTCTTCCTTTTCCTTTTAGTTGTTGCCTCTTCGGTGGCTGTCTTGCGACTGACTCGAATCGAGAAATGGCTCGCCTTTTATTTGGCCCGTTAATACCTTACAGAGAGCCGCGTACTTTGAGCTCGTTTTTCGAATAAAATTTCCCTAAACCGAAACCTTGAGAGTCCTTTTATTTTATGTTTTCAGTAAAACACCTTACACATATTTATTTATTTACATGCCTTACATACTATTATACAATATTAAAACATAATATTCAATATATAATAATTATTTAAAAAAGTCTTAAAACAAAAATATCTAAATTTCTAGGTTGCTACATTTTTACTATACATTTTCCCTTATAACTTTTGAACGGATAGTCCTATCGACCTAATTCTTGTTTTATTATAAGTTTTATAATAAAATCTATTATTTAAAACATAAACTATTATGCTATTGCAAGAAACAAAAAATCTCATTTTCAAGTTACGTAATTATATGCTAACATTTTACTTACGTACCTATTCCTTTCAAATTAATGTTAAATAGATATGATTCAAATAAGCAAAAAATACTCTAAACTAACCTTATTACACTAATTAGAACTTATTTTAACATAATAAATCTAATAAGAATGAGATTTCATATTTACAACAATTATTCATAATACGCTAAAATGACATTGTCCCTATATTAATACACACGTTACTCGAAGATAAGTTTTCCGTCGCCGACATTCTCCCCCTCGTGCTTTGCACCAACTCCTGGACTCGGCGACGCTCCCGGCACCAACAGCACCACTCTCGAACTGGGCCTCCGTAGAACACCTCCTCTGGTCTCGACGTCGACGACTCTGGTCCGCCCGTCTGGTCCAGGATACACATGCAGGATTCTTCCGCGTGGCCAGATGCATCTTGGTAGGCTGTGATCGACGATCAGTACGATGTCTCCGACTTGCAAATCTGTGGCGCTGACTCTTCCTTTGGTCTTCCTTGGTAGTAGAGTGGGCAAATACTCTCTCAGCCAACGTTGCCAGAAGTGATCGGCAAGTCGCTGCGTAGCCTTCCAGGTGTGTCTGCCCACAAGCTCGTTGTCCTCGAAGCTGCCGATTCTTGCTGCGCCACATGATCGCCCGATGAGAAAGTGGTTCGGTGTAAGTGCTTCTTCTTCAGGTTCTCGGAGAGGTGGGTGAGGGGCCGAGAGTTGACTATGTGCTCGGCCTCTAACAGGAGGGTATGAAGTACCTCCTCTCGTGGTTGCCTTTCGTTGAGCGTGGCGTCCAGTGCGGTTTTAATGGATCGCACCAGACGCTCCCATGCACCTCCCATGTTTGGTGCACCAGGAGGTATGAACTTCCACTGCACACCGATCTTCTCCGCTTCCGAGATAAGGTCTTCTTGCTTCATGGTGTCTAGTGCTTCTTTGAGTTCTTTGTTGGCGCCAACGAAGTTAGTGCCATTGTCGGTGTAGATTATCTTTGGCATTCCCCTTCTCGCGGCGAATCGTCGTAGTGCCATGATCATGCTGTCAGTGGAGAGTGAAGGAGTGAGCTCAATGTGTACAGCTCGTGTTGTTAAGCATGTGAATAGAGCACCCCATCTCTTCTCATGGCGTCTTGCTACGGTGATCGTCATAGGGCCGAAGTAATCTATTCCCGTGCACGTAAATGGAGGGTTTCCGTGCATCAGCCTCTCAGCAGGTAAGTTGCCCACTGGTAGTTCTTGAGGTCTTGCCTTTCTTGTTTTGCACCACTGGCATTGATGTTGAATGGTCTTGATCGCTGACCTCAGTCCTAGCACCCAGAAGCGTTGTCTTACTTCGTTCATTACGGTCGCGTGATTCCCGTGATTGAAGCGGCAGTGAAATTCTTCTATGATGAGAAGTGTTGTCTTGTCCTTGCTGTCGAGTACGATGGGTCGTTTGTAGTCTCTGGTAACCCCTCGTATCGCGTCGATTCTTCCTTTCAGTCGCAGGAGACCTTCTTCTAGCACTACGTCGAGCCTTTTCAACTTGCTGCTGCCCTCTAATTGTTTTCCTTGCTGTAGGCACCTGATGTCCTCTTTGAAGCATTTCTCTTGACTTCTTCTTAACAACAGCGTTTCAGCTTGCTCTAGTAGACTTGTTTCCAATGGTATGTATTTCCTTTCTGACGTTTTTGAAGACAGATGTCGCTTCTCAACAATTTTCTTATTCCTTTTTGTAGTTTTCCAGGTAGGATCTTCTTTGCTGGCGTGGACCTTTTCCTTTCTTCTGCAGAGTTTGTATGAACTGCAGTACTCTTGCTGTAGCTCGCCAAAGTCTTTT